GAGCATATATATATATATATGTATAATATGCATATAGCATACTATACAGTTTATGCTTAAGGATGTATACTCTACGTATATACACCAAATCTCTGTGACATGTTGGTAGTACATATATTTCGATTATGCTATACCTGTTTTTGTACGTTATAAAATGCAAAGCAACAACAACAACAAAATAGGGCTATTTAACCCCAGGTGATGCTTGCGCCAAGTTTTGTTATCGAATCTATGTCTTCGTTCTGCCATGCATCGCACTGCCAACCATTCTACTCCTGTTGGTCCTTTCGCAAATCCTCTCTGCAGTGTTTGTTGTTCCTCAACGTATCGTGAAGCAGGCTCACTTCCTGTGCCGGAGACTTGTATCATTTCACCTCCGCTGCATGTTCAGCCAAGTGATCCAGTGATGTTAATAACTCCACCAAGCAACTAACTCGTCTTCATAAAAATAACTAACTGATAGCCCAAGCTTCAGGCCCCAAATGCCCAATTCTCATGTCGTCTCACTTCCACGTGTGATGAGCTCCACCCACCATGGCAGTAGACTTTAGCTTGGCATCATGCCCCTTCCAAAGACTTCCAAAAGTACCACCTTTCAGAAGATGGCGGCTCGTCGGTGCTGAGACTCTGGCCAGGCTGAGCCGCGGCCTTCATTGAGATAGGCCTCGCGGGCGACAGCGGGCAGCGGAGCGGAGCACATCGGAGCACTCTTTCCGCCTCTTATGCCCCCGTGTCTGAGACCGACAAACTCCCAGTTGCAACTGCCGGTGCTTCGTGGCCTCTTGCTCAAGCAACCGGATCCGTTTCTTGCCCTGCGAAACCTGGCCTCGTCGCTCCACAGCAAGGCCTCTTGAAGAAACAACCGGGGTGCCCATGCAGCTGCAGAGTGTTCCGTTTGCGGAACGGCCCGGACGGCCTCGGAACCTGTGCGAAGCCGAGGGCAGCCCATGGCGCCTGCGGCCCCCCTCGACGCGGTTGTTCCGAAGCACATCTCAGCGCCCCCCCCGCCTCCCATCTCCGCCTCTCATGCCAACGGCGCTCGGCTGGGAGGGACCGCCGCCGTCCCGCTACACGCACTCCGCGGCCTTGGCCCTGTAATTGAAAACTCCCGACAAGAAGAAACGAATGACACAATACCCTAGCGCTAAGAAATAGAACAATCTGGATCTTTGGAATTAACTTTTGATACTTTGTTAGAGGATGTTTAGCTTGTAATCTGATGCTATTATTTAGTATCTAGAAAATTTACTCAGTGATGTATATTTAGAGGGTGAGGTTAATTATGAAATATAGCTCTTTACAGTTTGAATTCGCGCGCAATATTCTCTTACACTTGTTTCTTTCACGTAAAGATAATGAAGAAAGAGAGCACTTACGATTGACTTACAATAGTTACAAACGAAATTTCTCATTCATTTTGGTTCGTTTCATTAAGATGCTGAAGCTGCGCCAAGGCCATCTCTTTGCACACGTTCCAACCGGCCTCTAGCTACTCTAGCTGCAATTATGCAACGACGCCCAAGTCTTTGCTCCTCCCCTTGAAGGCCCGTGTGCGGCTTGGCAGCTGCCACTTTCTGAGAAAAGAAAGCTTCACCTATGGCGTACTGGGTTGTCGGGTCGTGGCATGGCTCAGATCATTCGAGCATTCAGAAAGAGAGAATTGGATCGCCATGAGCCGATCTTATCCGAGAGAGCCTATAGAGGAGAGCCTACCGCAGACGCATGTCATGCTCGGATGCTCGGATGGGTGAACACCTGGCCCCATGTGGGGCGGCTCTTCCAGCGCTGGAAGCGCAGGCTCGGACCGTCGGAGCTGTACAGGAGAGCCAAGCCAGCTTGGCCATCCTTGGGCTCGCGAGAGTCGCGGGCTTTTGAAGATCGGGACCGCACACCCCGCGGGTCCCGAACGCTCCCGAGCAACGAATTCTGCATCAGAGGCGGATGCCTTTTGCCTCACACTACTTCACTCGATTTCAGCTGCCTCAGTTTCGCAGTCTCGGAATCGATGATATCGTGTGTCTGTGTGCCCCGAGGCGCCTGAGCACCTCTCGCAGGCTGCTTGGCCTCGCTCCGCAGGAATCTTCTGTCACATCCTCTCTTTTTGCTGATGTGGGGCCCCCGGCGCTAAGGAGCCTCGTGCCAGAGCCAGGAGCTGCCGTGCCAGAGCGCCGCAGCTGGAGCCGGCGCCTTTTTTCCAAAAACGGCCGCTGCTTCTGCCGACTTTCCAAGGCCCAGGCGGAGACACGGATCCTTTTGGCGGAGGGCACCTCTCTCACACACAAAACGCGCTGCACCCAGGCCCAGCCCGGCTCCCCCTGGCCTTGCAGCCTCGAGCTGGATTGAGCTTGCATCTCTCGTCCACGCCGGAGCAGCGCCGCGGGCAGCAGCTCCTCTGCGGCTCGCAGGCCATAGCTCTCCTCCGCCTTCTCCCACAAAGCCTCGACAGCGACAGCGACGACAGCGAGAAGACAAAACACTTCGAATCTTCAGCGGCTTCAGCGCCTCCGGCCTTCATGGACGTCACATGTTGGACGCAGAAGCGAGCCGTCTTCTCTCCCTCCAAGAGCCGCTGAAGATGCATGCTGCGGAAGCCCTGCAACTTCGCGGACATCCAGCAGATCTCGAAGAAATGCGTTGCAAAGAAGGTGTAGACCTTCAGGTCCATCAGCCTCTCGCACACGGCCTTGCAAATCGCAAGGCCATCGGCCTTACAACGCTGCTCAAGTGTTTGTAGGCGATCAAAAAGGCATCTAGGAAAGCAGGCGTTGTTTTTGTTCCCATCTTCCCTCCCCCTTCCTTCTTACGCCGTCGGTGCCAGGGGGCGTGAGCGGTTCCTCTGCCGAGCTCGTCCACGAGCACCAAGCTCTGGGAAGTGATGTTCTTCAAAATGTGCGACGCCTCCTTCATCTCCACCAAGAAAGAGGAGGCGTTGGCTTCGATGGAGTCGCTGGTGCCCATCCGCGTGAACAGCGAGGTTACCAGCCGGAAGCTTGCGTAGCCCTGGAGGGCATCAGAGAGGAGAGAGGTTCAAACTTGCAGACAGACTGCTCGTGCTGCCAGGGCTCCGCAGGGACGAAGGACCCGGCGTGCGCTAAGATGACCAATTGCGCCTGAGCGGGGTAGATCCAATCAGGCCCTTTCAGAGCAACTCCACTGCGGCCGAAGTTGCCATCGTCGCCAGGTATCTCGGCAAGCATGGCATGAACCCTGAAGCAGAAGCCCTGAACCATTTTGGTTGATGCCGGGAATAGGCAAATGTGAACTGTCTCACAATGAACACTTCGCGCGACGTCTGACAGGTGGGGGCCGCGCGCGTCCAGCAGACAGCTCTGACCACCGTTTTTGGCCGCCCCGAAGCCCACCCCTCCCGAAACTCAGCCGAAGAGCGAGGCCTCCGGCAGCTCCAAGGCACCCTTAAGCCGCCCGATACTCCGGAACCCCTTTCCTCCGATGTCGGACCCAACTCTCTAATATATATATATATAGATAGATAGATAGATATAGATATATATATAGGTTTTTCAGGGCCTTTTTTTCCGAGGGCTTGACGTGGACTTTCCTCCTCCATTGTGTCCTGCCAGTCCGAGGGCGTGTGCGCAGGCGCGTCTAATTCGAGGTCTGCGGCGCGCTCTCTGCTTTTAGCGCCCATCGAAAGGCGACCGGCCCGCCACTGGACCGGGCGCCTGGCCTGTGATGGTCTGGAAGTGGCAGGTTCCATCCAGGAAGAAGTCCACAGGCTCAAAGTCCCCCAAGCGGTCCTTCGAGGCTCGTCTGTGCAGATGCCCGCCATGCTCAGATGCCCTGCTGCGGTCCAGCAGAGGGTGGCGGCCCTCCTGGCAGAGCACAAAGACCCAAAAAAGGCACCAGATGGGGGGCAAACCGTTTGCAAATCAATCCGAGACATGTTTGCATGCGGCATGCGTTTGCGAACTATGGCTGCCGACCTGTATGTGCAGAAAGCACAATGCGCACATTGTCGGCACAAGGTTCGACAAGCCAGTCAGGCGAAAGCGCTCACCGCCGCAGAATCTTGCTTGACTTGCCTCTCTGCTTTCGGGGTGCGGTGTTCGTTGACAAGGCTCAAAGCATGTTCCCATCTTTGCCATGGATCGTTCCGGTGGGCAACGTTGTCGCTGCTGCAGGGCTGCCCAAGGAAGCTAGACAATGACAACGCCGCTGATGTGCTGCAGCAACAGCATATTCAACAAATACATGCCCACAATATGAGAGTTGTCAACCGCTGATGTCGGACATGAGTCAGCGAGTCCGTTTGCAATCGGACTAGACAGGACTCAAAACTCAAGATCCGTCGGGCTCTTTGAGTGAGAAACAACGAGCGTGAAGGCCAAGCAACAGAGACAACAAGAACTCGAAGAGCGCACATGCCAGCTAAGAAGTTCCAGAGGCAGGAGACATCCGCCGTCAACCCCAAGGCAGAAGGCCAAGGGGCAAGGGCCTTTCGCATTAGCGCAGGAAGGGAAACGGTTCGCACCCGGTGCCAATCTCAGTGGAGCCGGCTCAAAGATGGCACCACTGTTGCAAGTTCGACCTCGTACAGGCGGGGCGAACAATTTTGAAAGCCCCTGGGGCCTGGGGCTCATTAATTAGGGCTTGCTAGGACCATTCCTACATTCTGTCAACGTTGATCGGAACCTAATATGCCCCATCCAGCAACGCCCGGCCGAATTCTTCGCAAGTACCCGCTCAGTTTCAAGGCCAGTGTTTCTCAACAGCAACGTACGCAACGCTGCACGACTGGAGATGAACACTATTCCCAGCGCGCCAGGCAAACATTGTTTGTCAGCTCACTGGCATATATGCTTGCAAAACGTGCTCCTTGTTTGCAGGCTTTGGCTGCGAATGCTGTCAGCCCGAATCTGTGTGCAGGCATGCTTTCCAACATCGCAAAAAAGCCTTTTGTGGAGGGAAGTCTCAGGGAAGGCGCCAGGCGAAAGCGGGGCCGGCGCGTGGGGCCTTGATGGCCATCGGAGCCTCCAGCGAATCCGAGATCTCCGGCCGAACGCAGCTGGAGGAAAGAGCGTAGCCGGCGAAGGCGGCGAGGAGGTCCTCGCGCAGCACAGGAGCACAGCACAAGCCACAAGCTGCCCACCGCGGGGCGGTGCTAGGCGGCGCTGGGCGGCTCTGTCGCTGCTCCCATCTGCTCCCTCTCCGCCCTCCGCCCTCCGCCCCCTCCCTCGCCCTGTCCAGGACGGAGACGGCCTGGGAGGCCCGGTGCAGCAGCGGGGCCTCTGAGCCGGGGACCGCAGAGGCGAAGCAGAGAGAGAGAGAAGGAGAGAGAGAGGGAGAGAGAAGGAGAGAAGACGGGAGACGGGAGACGGAGACACGGGGAGACTCTAGAAGCCTTATAGCACAAAAAGAGAGAAGACGGAGAGCACGACGGCTGCGGCGCGCCTCGCTTCGGAGCTCCTGCAGGCGACGGCTGTGCGACACAGCTCAGTTCTGGCGCGCTGGGCGAGCTCAGCCGTCCTGGATCAGGCCAGCCAGGACCTCCACCGTGCGCTTCCTCCGTAACCGCGACCCGCTCTTAGCAGACTCCAACTATAAAACTAGACCGCCCATCAAGGAAGGAAGCTCGTGTCCCCCCGTCCCCCTGAGGAAGCTGCAGGATCTCGGCTTCCGCCTGACGCAGCTTGAAATTCTCCTGGGCACACTGCAAAATATGTGTGTGTCAGTGTGCTGTGCAGACGGCGGACGCCCCGTTGCTTCGCAGGGCACCGGGCAGAGTTGAGCTCTTTGGTCGTGGAGGCCAAGCGTGATCCGCTTGTCCCCTTGAGGCTGGTGTGAAAGAACTCGCTCGGAGTCACGCCGTGCGCCGCATGGGAAAGAAACCAACCTCGGCGGATCCGGCAGAGGCTATTGGCGGCCTGGCTCTCTCCCTCTCTCTCCCTCTCTCGCCTCGCTTCTCGGCGAACTCGAGGCGCAGCTGGAGCTCCGGGTACTGCACGGCCAAGGCGCGGTGCGCTTGCTGGATCGCCTGCATGGACTCGCTCCAGGTCTGCCTCTGCGCAGAGCAGACTGCAGACTGCGACGACATGCTCTCGGAAAACTCGCCTTGCCACATCCAGCCTCACAACACAAGTCCGCTGCGGACTCTCATCTCCGCGTTTCATCCGGGGCTGCGGCAGGGCACTGGCGTTCGCTTTCACGGCGCACATCAGGGCGCAGTGCGCCAAGGAGCCTCTGGAGCGGCCAAGGCCCACGGCGCCCGTGGAGCCGTCGTTCGAATCCAGCACACGCTCCAGCTCCTCAATCAGAAACCCCCCCCCCCCCCGCACGTCCCACGACGTGATGCTGGGCCCCGGGGGGGGTGCCTTCCGGAGCTCTGTGAACCTCAGGAAGAAAGAGTCTGCGGCAGCTAACTGGCAGCTCAGCGCCCTCAGCGGGGATCGGGCCGGCGATGGGAAAGCAGTTGTCGCGCCTCTGCCAAGAGGCCTTCCTGGACCGCGACACGCCACTCTAGCTAGCGACACTTCGACGCCGCGAAAAGGCTTTCCTACTGCACGGCAATCCTACGACACGCCGACGTGCATTTGGTTTTTTCCCATGGACCCGCTGACGCGCTTGAAAAACTTCAGCGGGCCCCGCGAGATCGAAGCACACAATCTCGCATCTCACAAGCTTAATCCCTGTCACGTTACCGGTGCCTCCGGCGCTGACTTGAGCACATCCGCGAGCAGGGGAAGGGCCTAGACAGAGAGGGGTTGCTTCGCCTCGCCGACTCGCGCCGACTTCGGCCCCTGTCTCTCTAGGCAAACCGGCGGCCAGGACGTTGCGCAAGCGGAGCGCCGTGCGCACGGTCACCTCCAGCCGACTCCCTCCCGGCTGTGCATGTGGCTCTCTCTCTCTGGCTCACACACGTCACGAAAAAAAGTATGTGGATTCTAACTTCTTTTTCACCGTATAAACTCAAAAAAAGGTGAGACAACTTCTAAGAACTCCCTCCCCTCCCTCCGCCCGCGGCGGCCGCGCCCTTTGGCCTTGCACCACTCGGAGCCATGGCTGCCCTGACGGCTTGGCTCTCCCGTGAGCCGTGCCAAAAGCACCTCCATGTCTCCCTCAGTGTCCGACCGACAAGGAGAGAAGAGTGACAGAGGCCCAACTAGAGATAACTAACTTAGAGAGAGAGAGAGAGAGAGAGATTTGACATATCTCTTCCGACCGCGCTGACCTTTCTGTCTCAATGCTCTTTGCACCATGCGCAGCTGACTAGAGGCAAGTCAAGCATGAGGTCATTCATGGCATCCACATGCATCCGCATGCGTCCGCATGCTGTTCGGATTTGAAGGGCTAGCGAGGCCAGAACGGCCTCCGAAGCAAGACAGGACCAGGAGCGCGCTCGGTTCTGGGGACGGCGCGAGCGCTGGCAAGAGCTGCTGCGTCTGAAAGAAAAGCGGCTCCTGGCGCAGAAACACCTCGAGCAGAGGGATTCGGTTAAGGGAGAGAAGGAGACTAGGCAGGAAAAGACGCGGTGTCGTCCGTGCCGGCACGCGCCCGCCTCCACCGCTGCCTGCCTGGCCTTGCGCGCCGGCCGAGTCTCTCGTCTCTCGTCTCTCTGGGTGCGGCGGCTCCGGCTTCGGCTTCCGCGCGCCTGGATCTCCTTGAGCTGCACGGAGGGTTGGAGCAAGGACCTCGCATGCAGGCGCAGCCGTGCGGCGCAGCCGTGCGGCGCAGCCGTGCGATTCCGCGCCCCCCGGGCCAGCGACTGCCGGAGCAGCTGCGAGCCGCCGGCCTCGGCGCAGAGCCGAGGCAGATCGCGATGCGGGTGCAGGCGCGATGCGGGTTCACGTGGGATTTTCTTGTGCGTGCCGTGAGCTCTCAGGGCTTCTTCTCGCTGACTCCGTCGCGAGCCCCTATGAAGGAGAAGGGGCGACAAGCCCATCTCCTAGAGCTTCTTTAGCCACACGATCCACTTGTGACCAACTCCCAGCCTTGCAACGAACAAATCCAGCTGCAAGTAGCTGACTTGCTCTATATACACAATGCGGGATACAGAATACAAAGTCCGAGCGGCGGTGCGGCAGCTGAAAAGCCCAAGCAAGCTTTTGGAAGGGTCCCGGAGGCCACGCACCAGCTCCAGCAGGCGCCTCAAGAACAGCAGCGCAGCAGCAGCGCAGCTTCAGTGCACTTCAGTGCACCAAGTGCACTGAGGAGGTGACGCGGAGGACGCATCGATGGCCATCGTCTGGCTGGCTGCCTCAGAAGCAGCTACTGTATAAGACCTCTGGGTGAGGCTTTTTAGAGCTGCTGAAGACGGTTGGGTACCCAAGCGCGGAAGGTGACCTTCACGGCGGAGCCTTGCAGTCGCCTTGCGGAGGGGAAGGGGGGGAGGGGTGGGGCTCGCTCTCTCGCGGCTCTTCGAGGCACGGCCACGAAGTCTGCTGAGTTGCTGGGCACATCTGCAGAGGCTTCCACGAAGTGCCAGAGTGCCGTGAAAGCGGCTGCTGCCACAAACTTCTCCTGCGCACATGGCGGATCACTGCAGATCACTATGCGGAATCACTCTTCGGCACAATGCGGGTCCGCGAAGTCGGCGTGCTGCAGGCCAGCGACGCTGGCCTCCTCCAGCAAGGCCTTGCTGAGTTGAAGTCGAAAGGAGGCGGCGCCGGCCGGCGCCCGGTGGCCTGGCCCTCGGTCTCGTCGAAGTGCCGGCGCTCCAGGAAGGTCAGCCGACAGGAGCTCCCTCCAAAAGCCTCGCTCCGCAGACTGTCGCGCAGAGAGCTTCGGTGGGGGGAAGTGGGGGAAGCGCCTGCTCCAAGAGCCTCAAAAGCTCCGTGCCCCGCGCGCTCCGGCCTCGCGGCTCGGCTCGGCTCGGCTCGGCTCGGCTCGGCTCGGCTCGGCTCGGGTCCGGGTCGTCCGGGTCCCCCGGCTGACCAAGACGCAGGCCGGCTCCAGCGCCAAGCCTCGACTTCTTTCGATTGCTGAGCTTGAAGCGTTCCGCTGATCTCTCTGCATGGCTCTGGCTCTGGGCTCTGCGGCACTGCGAGAGTGCCCGGTTGTAGGAGGCCGTGTCGGAAAATTGGGTGATCTGGAACTCCATTGACCTGGGCATCCCCATCACGGCTCCGCGCAGCCCGGAGCCAGCTCAAGCGCACTCAGGGCCGCGCCGCCGATGGATGGCAGCAAAGCCGATCTCGGGCTCATAAAGCGTGGCGAAAGCGCGGCGAAGCAACGCGAGCGCACACCTCCCCCGAGCCTCACGGGCGCGGGACTCGATGAGCGCCACCACCTACAAACCGCACAAATCGCAGAGCACCGCCGCCGATAGATGTCACTCGAGATCACGAGACCCGTTGCTTAGGGTAGAACAGAATCGCCAGGTATGCTTTGACGCCAGTCCTGCACGCATAGACATGGGCTCTGCATGCGGAGCTGGGAGCTGCGACACACACGCAAGGCGCGCGAGTCGGCAGCACACCCCCAAATTGTCAAGCCCCTCTTGAGTTTTGCTCACATCCGCTTCAGCAGGGCAGGTATTCGACTTGTAACCGTTTCTCTGCTCCTCCTCCTGCTGCGCTCGCGCACTGTTGTCATTACTCGCACGGACGTCACGGACACCTGAGCGGAATGGAAGGGCTGGAAATAGTTCCACGGCCAGTCGGCACCACCGCTGAGCGCACTCAGCAGGCGGCAGAGCATCCCAAAAAAGAAGGACCCGGCACGACTCCCGCTTCCTACGTTCCTTCTGGAGCCGGCTGCAGAAAAAGAAAAACCCCAACGCGGCCTCTACCACGCGGCGCCCTATCTCTCGCCCTCGCCTGTCAGGCAGGCCGGCTCTGTCTCTCCTCTCTTTCTGACACACCCGAGGTCACAGCAGCGGCTCTGCTCTCACAGCAGCCCCTTTTCTCACAGAGACCAAGCGCAGGAGCTCCGGGTCCGCCGGGTCCAGTTCCAGGAGGCTCCGGGCCTCCAAACGCATCTCGGGCCTCGGACAAACAGAACAGAGCCACAGAAGACGGACGGACTCTCTTTTGTTGCACAAGCGCATGCAATTATAGACGGCAGAGCGGCGGAGAAAAAAGCAGCTGGAGGGCTCTATAGTCAGAGAGGGGTGCGATTAGGCTTAGGCTTAAGCGGCTTAAGCTGCTGCAAAAAAAGGTTTGTTGAAAGTGGCGAGAGAGAGCTGGGCAGCGCGAGGATTCCGCGGAGCAGCCGGCGGACCAGCTCCGAGGACGCTTCCGCGCCCTCTTTCGGCGCAAAGAGGTGCCAGGCCAGGCTGCTCTCGAAGGTCCTTTGCGACAGCGGCGCCGCCCTCGTGGCTTCCTCCGCTGCCTTCGCGATGCGCTGCGCCCTCTGGATCAAGGACTTCCCGTAGAAGCTCCTCGCCTGAAACAGAGTGGGATCGAAAAGGCGTCAGTAAAGCTGCGCCCGAAAACAGGGCTCTTCACTCTCGCTCTGAGGCTTTCTGTTGGAGCTTTCGGCATCGGAGCCGCGAGGGGAGCCAGGCGCGGAGCGAGGGGCTCGGCGTCACGTCTTGGGCGCCGCTGTCTGGCCAAGCGCATCTCTCGCCGAAGGGCTGCTTGGAGACAGGCTGAACCTCGGCTGTCAAGCCACAGGCTGTACCGATCAGGCTATAGCTATAAGACCTGGCAAGGACCTGGCCAGCACGAAGAGGAGAGAGTCAGGTAAGTCTGACGAGTCAGAAGAGAGCAACGGCCTTAGTTTTCTATATATATATATATACATATACATACACACACACATATGGGTCAATATTTGCTTACGGGTCTTTATAAAATGGCTCTATAGATAGGCGGCTCTTATTCGAGATCTCTCTGTCCTCCCCTTATATAAAAGGGAAGCTATAGGCACGAAGTGGCCCGGGCCTTCGTAGCTCTGGCGGAGCTCCAGCTCTTCGAGCGCCGAGGCCTCGAGGCGAAGCCAGCTCACGCTGCCCGAAAGCCGCGAGACGCCGAGAGGCCGCACCTGCGCGCCAGAGAGGAGGCAGGCAGAGAGGAGAGAGGCGGCTCCGACAAGGCCTCTGAAGCCTCCCAGAAAAGCCTTCCGTTCCTCCAGAAAAGCCCCCACCAAGACGCGGGGTCGGCGCAAGCGCCAGGCGTAGGCCCCGGGCTCGCGCCCGGCCTTCCGCAGCTCGGTGAGGCTCTGGAGCTCTGTCTCCGAGACCTGATGCTTGGAACGGGCAGAGGCCGAGCGAAGCTGCCGAAGGCTCCGCCAGCGGCTGCTGCTTCCATCGATCTGGCAAAAGCCCCAAACAGTGCTGGTGCCACTTGCGAGAAGAGCCACAAAGGCCTTCGGATCTTTCCTGCAAGGCTTGGACCGCAGCTCCCAGGTCTTGCAGCCGGATAAGATCAAGGACAGCCACTCGGGCTTCACGGTCAGTGCACTCGGACAAAGAGCTGCCGCTTCTTCCTGCATGGCTCTCGAGCCAAGAGCGGCCAGCAGAGGCTTAGGTGCAACGCCGAGTCTTCTGCATCCCTTCGATCCTTTTTGCTCCGGCAAGGCTTCAAACGCTGCTCGCATCTCTGCCACGGTCCCATGGCTGTCCTCTTGGCACTCCCACATCATTAAAAACGAGGTGCACATCGGGCGCATCAAGCGGGAACCCGGCACCATGAGTGAGACAAAAAAGACTGACAGATGGAAGCTTATAAGATCAATACGGAACTTCTCGAGAACGGTCGTGGGGGGCCGTCTGTGTGTGGGGCCGTGTTTGGGGCCTGCGGGCCTGGGATGGCAACTAGCTGGCAGCGGTTGCTCTCTTGCTCAGGGTCGGTGCAGTGGCTGGGCCTAAGTTTAACTCCCGCTACTTAGACGCAGCTGTGCGGCTAGAAGCCGCGATCTCCTCGCGGTCTAATGCCGGTAGTAGCGGCGCAACTTGAAGAGATCAAGAAGTCTATAAGAGAGGCTCAGCCTTCACGGAAGTGGATCAGCAGGATGGTGGTGTCATCCACCAGCTCATCGCCCTCGGCCCGCCTCACGGCCTGCAGCGCGCACAGCGCGCAGCGAGCACTGTCTCCTCCCTTCACGTTTCCTTGCCCTTTCGCCCTCAAGCTGCGTCGCCTCGGTGAGGGCTTTCAGGGCGATGCTGGGCATGGTCTGAAACTTTGCAACGATCCGCACGGCCTTGCAAGTACCAAAGGCTGCTGACCTTGCCTGCCCATCCGGGGCGCGGCGGGTGGGGGGGGGGGGCCTCATCGTTCTCTACAGAGTCCCAGAGGCCATCAGTAGCGATGATCAAGAACTTGTCCTCACATCATTGGGCCACGAATTGAAGTTAGTTGTTAGGCTAAATACCCTCTCTTGCCCGGGTCCTGCCCTTGCAGCTTGTGCTTGGTAACCTGATCAGGCCGGGAGGGGGGGAGGGCGCCGGGCGTAACGAGTCTCGTCTCAGAGGCTCGGACCACGGGTGCTGCGATGACCCCGAGACTACGCGCGGCGCCGTCGCCCAAGCTGCGGGACCTCGGGCGGAGCGGAGGTTCTCTGCGAACTTGCCTTAATCTCGGTGCCCTGCACAGCCAAGCCCGGCTTCTCGCAAGAGGGCCCGTCCCAGACCTCAGACGTGAAAAACGCCAGGTTCGATACGGCTTAAATCGGAACAGAGAGCTTGCAGTGTCTGTATTTTCGGTGTCGGCTCTGAGCTTTTTGCCCGGAAAGGCCCGGCCTGAGTTGCACACAGGCACTTGGGGGGGACCCGGGGGGGTCAGGAGCCCGCGCACCTCTTCACCGGAAGAGTCTCGGAATCTACTCACGACGCCTGAAGCACCGCGTGGAGCTCAGCACACATCTTTCTTTTAAAGAGATCCTTATATAAAAAAAGAGAGCGGAACGCGCCTCCGCTGAGCTCTATGCGCTCTCGCTCCTGACAGGTGCCCACAGCAGGTGTGCTGACATATAAACGGAAGAGGTTCTCGAGTTTCCTCGGTCATCTCCGGCTTCAGGTCTGTGGTGAGCGGCACGGCCTGAAGCGGTAGCGGCTGCGAAAGGCCCTGGGCTGTGGAGCCGGCCCGAAAAGGCCCAGGCCCGCCAGGAGGAACCTTCCAAGCGTCCCAGCACGGCACGCGAGTCTCCGACCTCCGCCGCTCCGCCGCTTTATGGCTCTCTAAAACCCTGCATTTAATCCGCCGCCGGAGGCCCGGGCATTGGCGACCGTCAACAAGGACTGGCCTCGCAGAAACACAACGAACAACAATCAGCTGCGAAAGGGGGCGATTCCCGCAAAGGCCTCTGTCGACCATGACCACCACGCCTGTGGAACCACTGTACCTCGCGTGCCGCTCGCAGATCTCGCAGATGTGCGAGATCTGCGAGGTGCTCTCGCAGTTCCGCCAGAGCGTTCTTTCTCCTCTGCCGGCGCACTCGACGTCTGAGCCCATTTTGGCATAGATGTCGTCGTCGGTGCTGCGGAAGGCATCCTGCGACGGCGGCGCGACGAAGCCCAGCTGGTGCAGCGAAAGCCCTGCGAAAGCCCTGGGCGGACCCTGCCTCCAGGGCTTTGGCAGGATTCTTCGAGGGATGCGTCTGCTGGCTGCTCAGATGCCCCGGCCTCGGGAAGAGGAAAAAGGTGCTCAAGATGAGGGTGCTCTCCCAAGATGTCGCAGCAAAACCCGACTCGGGTCCCCGGCATCCGCGCAGCGGCCGTCTCCGAGGCCTGGAGCAAAAACGGACGGCTGCTGCGGCCGAGGCGGCGCCGCCGGCTTCGCTTCTCTTCTCTCGCGGCGCCTCGTGACCCAAGCGGCCGTGGCCTCGGGAGGCAAGAAGGCGTCCTCTTCTGCATGCTCACCACAAACACAGAAAAGAAACCGTCATCATCATCATCATCATCATCATCATGATTCATCGCCATCGCCATCGCCATCGTCATCAGCAGCAGCGGTTTCAACATCACGGTCAGCACCGCCAAAACCACGATCAGCATTAGCAGCAGCATCATCTTCATCGTCAAAAACGCGCAGACACCTTGCCATCGTGGGAAAGGCATCATTACAATCTCCGGCATCGTCGTCATCGTCACCAGCAGCATGATGCAGACAAACATCACCTTCGTCAGCACAAGCAGCAGCATTAGCAAGTTCATCACCACGCCGCACCGTGAGGCCTGTGGACTCTGGCTTCCTGAACTTTCAGGGTCGTCCGAGAGGCCATCGAAGACGCCGAAGAGGAAGAGAGGCCCGGAAGTGCCGCTGTTCCCGTCTCCCTCAGCGCGCTCATCTGTCACCGCACAGCACAATCATCTGCGCACTGCTGCGCGCAGTGCTGCGCGCAGTCCCCTTTAGTGGCAAGGTGCGGTGGCACTGCAGCCGGCCGGCAGCACGGCCAGCGCCGCGTCCTGGGCGCTTTCTCGGGTTGTTTAATCCCGTGATCCGGGCAGAGGGGCATCTCCGGGGGCAAAGAGAGCAAAGAGAGCAGAGAGCAGAGGGAGAGGGAGGAGCCGGAGCAGCTCCTGGTTGATCCAGCCTTTGAGCTCCTTGGCGTGAGAGGCCACCTCAGGAAGACCAAAGGAGAGTGGCTCGCAGAGGGCCAGGGCCCCGGAGCTTTCTCCCGCCCCTCGCCTCCACCTGGATCCCCGAGCGCTTCTCCGAGGGCAGCTCGGCCTCGGCGCAGAGCGGCGGTCGCGTAGCGGCGCGGGCGCAAGAACGAGCACAGAGAGCGTCGGCTTTCTCTCAGAGGTCGGAGCCCATTCACGCGGTGCGGGCAGTGAGGTCAGGGCCTCGACGCGCCAAGCCGTGCCCCCAGGCCGTGCGGAGCCCATGGGCCCCCCGCCTTCCTCTCGCCGTAGGTCACCGCAATCTGCTTGGTGTTGCCGCTGGGGTAGCCCAGGAAGCGGGCGAAGCACCTGAGCCACAAACTAGCGCTGCAATGGAGCGCCCTCTGCGACAAAGCGATTATAAGTTCGAGAAGAGAGAGAGAGAGAGAGAGAGAGAGAGAGAGGGATACGACTGTAGGGCCGGATCAAAAGGGAGCGCTTGATTGAGAGTCGCCGGGTCTCAACGGCGCGCTTTTCGCCGCTGGGCGCCGGGCCCCTCGAAGCAGCTCGGCTCGGGCTCAGCTTGCGCCTCCCGGCGAGAGACAGGAGAAGTGTGAAGAGACTCCAACTGAGAGTCTGAAGAGAACGAAGTGAAGAAAGATGGTAAGAGCCAGAGAAAGAATGGAAGACTTCGAGCGAGACAGAGCGAGAGACAGAAAAAAAGGTGTGTACAAGGACTCGTCTTGCGCCTGTGGCTTCCGGAAGGAAGGCCGGCCGAAGAGGACGCTGGCGCGGTTCTCAGAGAGAGGTTGAAAGCTTTGCACAACAGCCATATGCATTTCATGTATTGTTCTTCCCTGCGTCCTTTCTTAGCAAACGTTTTCGAGGCAAGAGGCCAGCAGGTATGTGGACGTCTCCTTCATCGCCTCCGCCTGACTCTGCTCGCCAAAAAGTCCCATCATGAACCCCTGCATGGCCCTGCGGCACGCTCACAGAATTTGAATGCTGCTGGCCTTCGGCGACCCCAGCTGTTCTGCCCTCGCGTCCCTGGGGATCCCTGCCCCAGCTTGAATCCGAAGAGTGCAACGAAAGAGTGCTGAGGTGCACCGAGGTGCCCTGACCGCTCTGGCCCTTGCTCCGACAAAGCTTCGAGGGGAGGCTCTCATTTTGCTGCGATTCCGGCCGCGACATTGCGCAGCCCGCACAGCTCTCCCTTGGCTCATTCGGGCTCCATGTCCTCAAGGAGGTGCCTTTTGCAGGTGGGGCAAGTCTCTGAACGCCTCAGCCACGGCTCCAGGCAGTCGCTGTGGAAGGCCTCAGTGATGCAGAAACCAGACCTCTCAGGGCCGTAGCAGAGCTCTCGGAGTCCGGCGTGAAAGCAGAATAGCCGCGTCACTTTCTCCCCCGGAGCAAACTCGTCCAGGCAAAGAGCGCACTCCGAAGAGGCCTCCCGCGGCCCTCCGCTCTCTTCCGGCTTCGCCCCTCTCCCTGCTCTCGGGCCTGCCCCTGCCATTCATGCACGGGAAGCCGGGCACGGACTTCCTCTGAACACACCGATCCATGAAAACTGCCCTTCGCCACCGTCGGCAAGGCCTCAATTGAGCGCCCAGCGGTGCTCGCTCTCGCCCTGCTGGCAGCTCTGGCGCCCCTGCGGAACGAACACACACACACACACACACCCGCGCGCGCGCGCGACCATCTCTCTGCCCCGCTGCTCGCTCTCCACTGAGAAAACGAGCTCTGGGCAAAGCCATCTCAGCTTCCTCTGCTCGGTCATACACCGCATCCAAACGAGGAAAACAAGCAACGAGGCTCCACCTGTTGAATCCGGCCACTGGCGTCCTCACAGCCACAACTGCATGCTGCAGCTTGCAGGTTTAACGGTCTACGAGGAGTCTACGAGTACCCTCTATGTTTCCTCCGCGAAACTCAGAGCCAGCACCATCGCAAGGAGCTCGTCCTGTGCATCAGATGACTGTTGTTACGCTAAAGTAGCAAATACGACCCCTCCTCGGCACGCAGCTGCGCTTCGTGCTGTCGCCGACGCTCCTCGTGATGGAGATCCTCAGGGAAGTCCGGTGTCCCAGGGGCCCCTGTCTGTCTGACCTGGCCTGCTCCAGCACAGCCATGGCCAGCTCCTCATCCAAGTCGCACTGGGAGCGCGCCGCCTGCAAGACCAGAGGGGCACCTCTCTCGGGTGTGTTTCGCTGCCACTTCTACGCTGAGGCGCTCGCAACTAAGCTTCTGGCGGCTTGCAAAGCTCTTGCGGGGGCCCCGGTCCCGCCCGCCCTTGCGCGAGATGCATTCGAAGGCGCTGCCTCAAGGGAGCGGCAGAGACGGAGACTCAGAGAGGCAGTTGTCAGAGCACGGCTTCTGGAGCTTCTGCATGCAGCGGTCCGGGCCGCGCACTCGCGATCCGCGGGGCGTGCCTCGGAGCGCCCGCGCGCCGGCGCCTTCGGCCCTCTTCTCAGACCTTTTCCGCAGGAGAAAGGTCTGAGAGGCTGCAGAAAACAGGGGATTCGGAGAGGGGCGAACCCGGCTCTCGGCTCCGCTCTCGCGTGCTGAAGCGCGGGCCGTGGCGAACCTGGCAAAGCCCTGTCGCCTCCACTTCGTCACTCTCAAAAACACCCCCCCTCGCCAAAACCAGAACAAAAAATAGAGGGCTTCTCAGGACTGGCACATGATGCACTGCTCACCTGCTAGGATACAGCATTGACCATCAAAATTCATAAGCTTCTATCTACCTCGTCCGTTTTCATTCGCAGCACCTCATCCGTGTTGTCTTAACGGGTTTCTGAAGAGTTTCCACCTCTTTTCATCGTTTCCTCCGCCTCCTTCGTCCTTCATTTCTTGAAGTGCTTCACTGAATCTTACCATTGTTTCAACGAGCATCTAATTTACAGCCACAGCAGGCCTAAAAACTAGCAACATATTATATTACTGAGGACTATCCAACTAATCCATTATAGCCAATTTTCACCGCACAATCCCCAGTAAACTAATGTTATTATGTTAATTGTTGACAAATGGTCGTTTCGTTCATTGTTCAACTTTTTAATTGCTGTCTTGCAGTTTCACTGCGTTTAGTTAGTGTGCTTGTGTTTGTTGACAACTTTCCAACATCAAAATAAATCATTGAAATAACTATTTGCGTAACTATTTGCGTAAAATCAACTTCTTCTTCCAAGAGTGTTATACTTGTTATTTAAACACGTGGGACACCGACGTGTTCAATGATAATGCGAACGAACAAAGGCACAAGACGCCTGTTTTACTTGAGCCAAATAGATGAGTCCAGTGTTGCACTCTCGCACTCAGCTGTGTTAACTTGACTGTACAGTTACAGTCAGAAGCTGCGATCTGTACGGGTGCGACTAGCGGACCTAGCTTCTAGGTCTCGGGTCCGCCGTGCAAATGTTGTGTTAGGGCGACGCTCAGAGAAACGGCACCTGCCACGACTGCCTGTGCACTCGCACGGGACATTTCGACATCTCTAGGTGGGAGATCACGAAGCAAGCGGTCCAAGACAAGAGCATCAGAGCCATTGCGAGAAGCGAAACCATCGCACATTGAATGGGTTCACAAACCTTCTGCCTTAGAAACCTACTAGTAAAGAGTCTCTATGGCAGGGACAGGGCAAAAGTCATAAAGGCTCTTCGAAGACTCGAAGCCGAAAAGCCTTTCGGAGCTGCGCAGCCAGGGACACGTCTCGCGGCACCGCTCTCGCCTCGTTGCACGGAGGCACGGCCGCTGGCCACCAACCTCGGTTTTTTGACGCGGGGAGAGAGCGAGAGGGAGCCGAGGGGGCGGGGCCCGGGGCGCCGGCTGCGAGGAGCGCTCCCTGGGGCCTTCCCAGAGGCAGGGGCGGCTGGCGCAGAGCTTGGGCGTCGCTCGCTGCGGCACCCCGGCTGCCCGCTGAAGCCATGGTTTTAAACTGTCTAGGAGCCCATCATGGGCTCTCTTCTATGGCTATGGGCGACGCGGCCCTTCTTTTTGGAAGCTCTGCCTTTAGGCCGGCCTCCGCTTGGGCACGCGGCCTTCGAGCCCAAGAGTTGGCTCCAACTTCCTTTCACATGGCGAGAGAGAGAGAGAGAGGGGGAGGGCTCCCTGGACTCGGCCACTCTGAGGTGCCTGTGGTCGTTTCATCACCGTGTCTCTGCGATGCGCTCGCCGCTGGCTTTGGCGGCTGAGCGGCAAGTCACCCTGCGATACCCTGTGCTTGAGGCACGAAGTACATCTGCGCCAGTTCAGACTCTTCGAGTGTTGTAGGACCTGCAGCTGCGGTCGGTACGGAAATCAAGCCTTTGGTTGATGCGCCCCGCCCCCCCCGCCCCACCTGCATGCTGGGCACTTCTGACCCAAGATGTGGTACTCCATTGATGATGAGCCCTGGCAGTCGTTGCCTAAGATTGCACCATGCACTGCACCAGATCTAGCACGGATAACAGCAAGGAAAGAACGTAGCCAAGCGGCAGATGATGCTCGTCAGCTGCCTGTCAAGCGCGACTCGGGCAACGCGACAGCGCCCCGCGGTTCACGATTCGTGAGGCGACACAACTCAGTAGGCCTGCACTCCAAGGGCATGGGAGTCTCTTCAATCTGACGATCCATTTCATGCCAAAGCTCGTCATAGCCGTAGAGGCTGACCTCAGTGCCGCAGCGCACGAGTCGGAAGTGCAAAGTTTGCGCAAAAGGGCCAAAGGAGAGCGTCGGGCGCTGCAGATCGGGCAACGCAGCGACTGCAGTCCTCGAGTTCCAAGGGGAAAATTACCCCCCTTTGCGCAAATTCTCAGAGGCCATGTGCCTGCAAAGGAGTTCTGAAGCTCCCTGAGGCAATCCTCACGCAGTGCATGAGCAATGCTAGGCTGCTAGGCCGTGTAACATGCTCCGCGCCTGGTGGATGGTGTGTCCGCACTGCAAGATCGTTACCTGCGTTGTGGACTGGAAAAGGTCCTGAAAATCTGACGGATCTGAGCGATGACATGACGGGCCATCGGACACCGTGTCCTGCAAGCACACGGGACAGTTGCGCCGCATTGCGTTCTCCACGCAAATGTGGGAATCCTTGATCTCCGACGGATAACCTGGCATCTGCGCAGTGCTGGTGCCGAGGCAGTGAGAGGAGCACGTCTCCGAGCATCGAGCAGGAGCCGCAGGCGTCGCAATGGACTTGGTGGCTGAAGGAACTTATACAGTGATTATACAGCAGTGTAAGGAATTACCAATGAGATGGCCAACCCTGTGGGAACGGCTACTATGCCCGCTTGTGCTCTGTCGCTATCTCACAAGTTTTCGACTTTGATAGACCTTATGATTGTAAGCCTTGTGTAAGAGTGTTTATAAGGGTGTTTACGGGAAGGCTACAACAAGAAAAGAAAGACGAACTTCAAAGCCTCACATAAACCTTTCCGACGTTCTGAGATGGGAACGTTCGATTTCAATTTCAGCAATGAATGCTGCAACGTTTCTCTGTTTCAAGCTGTCTCTGCGAGACCTCATCCACATGCAAGCCATGTGCCTGGAAACGATCTGGGTCCAGGGCAGTAGTTTTCACGACCGCCAACGCGGCAGAGTCCGCATTTTTCACAGTGGAAGACCTTCTTCCGCAAGCCGTCCTGGGCGGTGCAACTTTGCAGAAATTGTCGTGCTCTTTGCCACTCTTGCTAGGCCACGGCCCGGGGCCAGGGGTGCGCGTTCCCAAACAACCCGAATCGAACTTCCAAGTGTTCACACCTCAAGATGTAGTCCTCACACTAAATCACTAAATGTGACACGCGGCGCTTTGACGAATCCTCCTCGTCGTCATCATCTTGATCGTCAGCAGTATCACCATCATCACAATCAATGCGAAACAAATCGGGGGTTTTGCCACCTTCGGTTACGAAGTAAGGGCATCAGCTGGAACGGTCGGCTGCCTGCCCTGCCCAGCTGGCCGACAGGCGTCCAGAGACCTTTCACACTGACATCAAGGAACCCAAGCTACCACAGGCGACGAAGCCCTCGCTTGGGCATGAACAACTCCGCTGCCTGATCCGCAAGCAGGAAGACAAGATCAAGCAAGAAGTGCGCGCACTGCGCAGTCGTAGTTTGTGAGGACCAGTTTGACCTTCTCTCTTGCTTAGTCCGCAAAACGCTATGCGTGGAGGGCGGTCATTTCCCGTTGTCCGTCATGTCCCATCATCCATACAGTCTGCAACGTAAATGTGTCACTCACCATCACCAGGGTCTTCCCCTCCTCGCTCAGCTGGCCCGGTCCAAATCACGATGTCGCAATGTCGGGCCATTCAACCCACGTGCATCTCGCGTTTGTGCCATGTGCCATGCTTCAGGGCAAAGCATACCAAGCAAATCTGGACAACACGCAGCTTACAGCTCTGATGGGGCTTGCCTCATGCAGACTACGGAGCACGGGACATTTCACAATGTTCAACTACAAGACTAAAGTTTGCAATTGCTGCCCTCGTGCCATGACGGTGGCTGGTTGCTGTCGCCCCGAATGACCTAACGGTTGCTGCACTTTGATGGGCCGACCAATGCTACTTGCAACAGCTTTTTGCACCGAGTCTGTGCATGTTTCGTCTTATGTTGAAGCAGCCGCTGGGGGCTGTGACGAGCCCATGCTGCACAGGGAAGTTGCAGCTGAAGGACGTGCTTCAGGAAACAAGCACTGTTTTTAGACAAGGGATGCTGGAGAAGGTCTAAACGTCTGGGGCATCAGTGCGATTTTGAGATTGCATGAGTTTTCCGCAGCCATGTTAGCCTTCCAGTTTCTTTCGGTGTTTAGCTGAGAACCGGGCATCGTCCCAAAAGTTGCACTCTGGGCAGAAGTAAGCTGCGAAAAGGCAGCCTGCCACAGCGCCAAAGTTGAAGCACAATGCGGAGAATGCAAGGAACCCTAACTGCTGTTTGGGCCCAGGCTGCAAACTTCGCAATTCCTCGGCTGCACTCAGCTGTCCTAAGTTACCGCCAGCATGTGGTGCGCCCCGGCTGCATCGGGGCTTGCCGGTGGCCACAAACGTCGCAAATCACCTGCTCTCTCGTTTTCTTCGATAGCCACAGCAACGAAAATCTGACCTACGGGACCAATTCCGAAACCAGTACAAGAAACCGCCTCGGCAATCTTGGATCGATCGAGCTCGTGTGGCCTCTCACTGGCACTGGCGGCCTGCACAGCGGCTCCAGGGCGTGTGGGCTTTGGGCTTTGGGCTTTGGGCTTGCGCAGATCCGCGCAGCTGACCCAGCTGAGCGGCGCGCCTCGTTGTGGCAGTGACGACACCAGAAGACCTGTGCCCAGAAGGCGGGACGGGGGCCCGGGCCGGGCCGGGACGCAGAGCCACGCGCGCGCGCGCGCTGGTCGCACTCTCCCCCCGCGCCTGGTCGCAGCACCTGAAAAGTGACGAGAGACCGAGACCGAGAGGAGCGGACGCCAGCGGACGCGAGCGCGGGGCTCCGCGGCGGCTCCGAGGCCAGGGCGGTGCCCGGATCCGGCAGCGCCGCCTCCGGTCTCCGCGCTCCGCGGCTCCGCGGCTCCGCTCCACGATCTCTCGCCGTCTCTCCGCGCGCCTGTAGTGCTTGCAGCCCTGCTTCTCCATCCACCAGGTGGGCCATCTCTAGCCGCTGCGACGCTGCCACTCTGCTTAGCGCTTCCGGCGATCGGACATGACGTGGACGTGTGCTCTCGGCTCTTTGCCCTCCAAATCCTGGGAGGGATTTGAAACCTAGGCCGTCGCCGATGTGCTACGACTGCTATATGAATCACCATGCAGCGTGTGGACGCTCCCGCTTGAGTCTGCTACAGCACCGGGATCCGATTGGCGACGGCGTTTTTCCAACATTGCCCAAGATCACCGTTTCCCTCTTGCCCCTTGAGAGCGAGTCTTCGAGGGGAGTTCCCCTTCTCTTTCCCAATGCCCCTGTGCTGGGCCAACATCAGCAATGGCAAACCTCAGCAATCGCCTGTGACGCAATGTTCGTCGCCCGACATCGCTGCCGCGACGTCGTGCGACGTCGGCGCAGCGTGCTAAGGGTGTCCCATTGGATTTTGAGAGAGAAGGTGGGGGTTTTACGACTCTTGCAGAGGGCTCGCCGAGACCATCTCTCGCCCATCCATTTCTCTGGGCTGAGGGCTCTCAAATGGCACCCTGTGGTCATTGCCAGCGGTGCTTCGGTGAGACTCGTGCTGGCATCGCACTCTGTGTTTCTTTGGCATGGCCGTGTCCCACGGCGCGCTTTTTTTTTTTGCGGCCCGGCCTGGCTTCTTCAGATTTCCACAGGCGCCTTCCAGGCTCAGGCTGGGTCGCTGAGTTGTCGGAAGCAGTTGCCACCGAAGAGCATCCTCAGTTTCAGGTCGAACACAAAGACAAAAGGGCTGCCTCGTCGAGGGCCGGTCCAGATGAAGAACACCGTCAGCCCGCCGCCTAGCAGAAAGCTCAGCCTGCAAAAGGCCCCCTGAACTCTGATGGCCCCCTGATGGCCCCCTGAGTCCTCTGCTGATCAGCCAAAAGCTCACCACATCCCGGACAAAGAGTCGATTGCTCAGGTTGCCGCTACCTCTCTGTGGCCTCGAGCCGTTGTGAGGCGCAGCGGGCGAGGGCGAGAGCGTCTTACTGAGCCCCGCACGCTGCCTTACTCTGTGCCATCTGCCGGCGATTGGAGGAGGAGCGGCCACTCTCGCTTGAGCCGCACTGCGAAAAAGGCAGAATCTCCGAAGCACGGCAGCAACAACAACAAATGCGCGGAAGAGGACTCCCAGCCAGCTCGGCCCAGCTCTCCTCCTTTTTCCCCTGCTCGGCTGGGCTCAGTCGCGCTCGGAGCGCCTGGGGAGAGGACGAAGTCACAAAACGCGGACGTGGGGCGCCCTGCCCTGCCTCCGGGAGCGGGAGCGGCTCCTCCGCCGGCGACCCTCGCGCCTCAGCTCCAGCGAGAGTCTCTGCAAAACCGGGACTCTCCGCTCCTCTTCTGGGCCGCGGCCTCTCCGCCTCCTCTTTTCGTTCGCCCTCCTGAGCCGCAGGGACCCGGACCCCCAGCGACGCTGGGGCTGTTTTCGCCGCCTTCTCGGCCTTCTCTTTGGCAGCGCGCTCCATGTCCTAAACAAAGCTCTTAAAGTGAACGCAAAGCCTCGCGTCTCCCTTCTAGAGGCCTTATTGCCTTATTTTGGTCCTGCTTCTCAGCAGGCGTCGGTCCAAGGGGCGAATAGCTGCGCGCCTGCATGCTGAATCGCAGCAGAGGCCTTCTGTGCTCCAAGGCTCTTTAACATACTTCGTTTGGATCTCGGCAGCCGGCCGAGAAAGTCCCCCGCTCGATCTCGCGGAGCTTCAGCTGCACGGCACCTGCTGCGCAGTCGTTGCGCAGCGCAGCTGGAGCCCCGCGCAAAAGCACGAGCTTGGCCTTTTGGATGCTTGGCAGCTCGCATGACATCATTCAAGGTCCGCATGTCCTCCTGGCCGTCCAACTCACTGCAGGGAACGCAAGACGTCAAGGGCTTGCCGGACCTTGAAGGTGACTGCACGACCTCTCATGGCGTTGGTAAGACGGTTCCGCACGGTCTCGTCGAGCTTGAAGCGCACGCAGGTCGCATCGATCTGCGCACAGGACAGTGAAAAACCGCCCTAGCCAGGGGGCGCCGTCCCTCCCTTTTGATTCCCGAAGCCCTTTTTTCCGGCCGCAATCGGTCCCGAAAACCAGGGCTTTGCTTGACAGCCGACAGTGAGAAGTCAGTGAGAAGGAACGATACCGAGGAGTGTCCGATCATTGAAACTTGATGACCAAAAGTCCGATATGATGATGCGATATCCGAAAACAAATTCGGAAACGGATCGGGCGATATCGGAACACACCGGACCAAATCAGAAAACAGTAATCGGAGAAAAGGAAAGCCGAAATCTGAAAACGGACGCTGGAAAATCAGAAAACAGAGCGGACAACATCAGACAACATCACGGACCAGATCAAAAAACAGGGGGGTCGAAAAGAGCCACTGCAATGGCGTGACGGGCTAGCTCGTGTGCGATTTCCCATTTTGTTGGAGACCACGGTTCGACGGGTGAAAGGAGCGCGGCTTTCCTTCACCTTTCGGTTTGTAGTCAAAACAACAGGGTGAAAGGAGCGCGGCCTTCCTTCACCTCTCGGTTTGTGGCCAAGACCAAGGGGTGAAAGGACCGCAATCTTCCTTCACCTTTCGGTTTGTGGCCAAGCCGACGGGTGAAAGGAACGTGGCCTTCCTTCACCATTCGGTATGTGGCCAAAACCGACGGATGAAGGGACCGCGGCCTTCCTTCACCTCTCGATTCGTGCCCAAACAGAGGGGCGGTTGCGCCCAATTTCTGTTTTTGCTCTTTCCTGTTTTCTGATTTTGTTTTTGTTGCTTTCTGATTCTTGTTTCCGATTCTGTTATGTTTTCTGATTTCGTCTGTGTTGCTTTCTGATTCTGGCGTGTGATTCTGTCCGGGTGTTTTCCGACATCGTTCTCCTTGGTTTCCGAACTTGTTTTCCTGATTTCGTGCGTTGTTTTCCGACATCCTCTTCAGACTGTGGGACGGACGATATCAGAAAACAAATTCGAAAACGTAGCGGAGAAAAACACCGGACCGGACCAAATCAGAAAACAATAATCGGACAACGGTAAGCCGAAATCAGAAAACGGACGCAGGAAAGTCAGAAAACAGGGCGGGCAATATCAGAAAACATGACCGACCAGATCAGAAAACTGTTGCAACGAGTCTTTTGTGCGGCAAGCTTCTCAGATAACTCATGCGCGTCCCGGCCATGCCGTCTCAACTGCATGTTGCAGGCTGTTTGCATCAGCAGCGTCTCTTAAAGTCGCTGCTTCTGCACAGAGCGCCTCCTTCTTTCCGGGAGGGCGGGAGGGTGAGAGATTTTCTTGAGAGGAAGAGTGACATCGACATCTTAAAACCTCAGCAACATTTCTGTGTTTCACACTGCCATGTTGCAACGAGTCTTTTGTGCAGCAAGCTTCTCAGATAACTCATGCGCGCCCCGGCCATGCCGTCTCAACTGCATGTTGCAGGCTGTTTGCATCAGCAGCGTCTCTTAAAGTCGCTGCTTCTGCACAGAGCGCCTCCTTCTTTCCCAAGTTGATGACTCCCAAGTCGGAGTTGGCTAGGGTCTGGAAGGGTGGGCAAAGTCATTGATCGGAACAAGCATGTACTTGGCAAGTGCTGTACGAACAAGCCGATGACAAAGACGATGAGGGTAGGCTTGAGCAACCATCGTGAGGGGTTTCCCTGAGGAATCCTTGCCAGTGAGAGGTACATGTCTTTCACCAGAACGACTGCACAAGCCATGTGTTCCCTGGCATATGCGAGAGCATCCTTCGGCATCATCTTCCTCAATGTTTCCTAACAAGAAACAAGTACGCTTGCGCCATTTAGTGCCCCACTGACAAAAATCTGTAACGATAGTCTGCACATGGGACTGGCCTTGTAAGCGTCGAAGTTCGGGAAGATACCACGCCTTACTGGTATGGGGATGCTCGAAGATCCAAGGCAGTTTCTGAGAGTCAAGCATGCGGATAAGTTTGAAAGCGGACTGCATGCATTTATTGCCAATGACAACCTTTTCTTGATCCCTGCTTCAAAGTCCAGGTAAGCCCCACGGAAATTCGGCTGTACGAATGACACCAGCTCTGTCGCGGGCGCTTGAAAAGGTTGTACAGGGAGGGGCAAACATACCTCCCAGCAAAAGACGTCGTTTGATGTCACACTTTATCTTTGACAGCACGCGACGATCCGTCAGATCGTGATTGCACCCTTGGTCAAGCTCCCATGATCTTGTCTGGAATCCCAGAGCGTTGGCAGCGCGACCGATGCGACCAGATCCTGCGAAAAAGTCTCCAAAGTAGGCCCCTTTTCTCACCGGCCAGGGAGAGGGATCACCGGATAGCCTTGGCCTAGCAAAATCTCCTCGATGTAGCGCTCGGCGGATCTGCATGCGAGCCGGCGAGCTGGGTGTCCAAGTCCAGCTTCTGCCAGGTGGCTGCCAGCCTGCCTGCTTTCTCGTAGCGAGCAACACTCTGCCGGCTTGCCCAGTTTCCCCTCTTTCGCACCTCTTCCTGCGTCCGAGCATTCTTTGCCCTGTCTATCGAGGGCCCCGAGTGCCTCGCTTGATAAGGCACCAGCTGCAACTTCAAGTCCTCGCACGCTTGTCGGAAGACCTTCAAGTAGCTCGAATAGTCGAAGTTGAACACGTAGTCCATCTTGTCTCCTTTCACCAGCTCCTCGAGGAGGGGGCTGGCGAAAAGCAACCAAGGACTGTCGATGAGGACCGAATCGTCCTTTGCATCCGTTGTCTCCGCAAGGCTGGTAACCACCGACCAGTGTCCCGTCACACCCTGAGTGGGCCTCACCAGACCCATCTTCCGCAGTTTCAGCAAGGCACCAGGGCGATGGTAGGTCGAGACCTGGAGGAGGTTGAAAAGCGCCTTGGCTGCATGTCCATGCGCCACCATTCTCCAGCTGACCCCACACCACACCGGCAGAGGATACGCCAGTCTCGACCGAGCTGGGCACAACTTCCTCCAGCCCTGGAGGCATCGCCATGCGTTGGGGACTTTTCGATGCCCAAGGCGACCAAACTGCGGCACTCGGTCCATCAAGGCTGCCAGCGTGTAGTCCCCCACTGAGCTTCCTTCGCCCTCCTTGAACTTGGCATTGAAGAAGTTCACCAAGGCTTGGTCGATCTGTTCGTCCGTGTCGAACGCCAGCTTCGCCTCCTTCACAAAGAGGTGGAGCTCGTTCAATCTTTTGGCGTATGCCTGTCTCACTCTGGGTGTGACCGCGGCTTCCTCGAGGAGACTGTGACTTGTTGTTCCCTTCTTCAGGTGAAAGTCCACAAGCTGTTGCAGCCCTCTTCTTGGCCTGCTTCTCAAGCAACGCCTTTTCTCTCCTTCTCTGCCGGCCCTGAATTCGGACGAGGTGCTCTCGCTCTCGTCGCAATCTTCTGGGGCACTCAATTTGGCCGCTGTCATCTCGCGCAGCTGGAGCTCCGTCTCCGGGAGCACGATGGGCTCCAGAGGCCGCTCCACCAGCCGATTCTTGGTCCCATCATCTCCGAGTAACCGCCGTTTCTTTTGGCGACTCCCGGTTTGCACACTCAGGTCTTCGTCCTTGTAGCCACTCAGCGTTCTCACACGACTTGGCGTTTGTTTCCTCCTGGCGGCGCCTTGCTCCATCTGCATCTTGGACGAGGTCAGTGTTCTTCAGCGCTCCGCAGCCATCTCTCAAGTCCCCGGCTGCCACTCCTATAGGGGTATAGCACACGCTGGTCAGCATCTTGAGTCGCCGAGGAGGTCTATCAACAAATTAGAGTCTTTCGCCCCTTCTGCTAGGCGTGAACCCTCATCCGAGATATTGAGTTCAGATGGAATCCATCGGATGGTCACTCGAACATTTCGTGCAAAACAGTACGCAGCAAACTGACGTAGGACCTTCAAAACTGTAGTTCCGGGAACGGCATCGTTCAAAGGTCAAGACAACAGCCAGATTGTCACACAAAGCCAGCTGGCGGATGCTGTGTCCAAAGCGGGTCATCAAAGCTCTGCGAATGCCCTTCAAGACTGCACGAGCCTCGAGCACCAAGATGTCCTCCTCGAACTCCCTGCTACCATGCATGGTGGCGTGCCACAACCTCCGAACAAGGCCCGCAGCTGGTACTTCCTTGAAGTCATTGTCGATTTCCCAGCCGGCCTGAGCCAGAGCCTCATGACTCTCATCTCCATGTGGAGACGTCCACCTGCCATGCTGATCAAGTGATAACCCCGCTGCCTGCAATGCACTCTCGCGAGCAGAGTGGGCTGACACACGCCTGAACCGCGATCTTTCAGACTGACGTCCACACTCCGCGACCTTTGACCTGGGCCACCATGCTCGGCAAACTCCGTACCCTTTAAGACTGGCATCGCTAGAAAGAACCATCCTATTCCAAGGTCTCCACCAATCCTGCACGAGCATGAAGAGGATCCCCTTGAAAGCCCTGAGTTCGCCAACAATAGACGGCCATAGCGTGCCAACGGATTGTTTGTGCTTCTGAACGACTGCCAACCTCGCTGCCATGAAGCTCCAAGCCAAGTCCATCGAACTTTAAGCGCAGCTCCTCCATCGCCTCAACAATGCGTTTATGATCAATGCTGATCACACCCAGGTTGTCAACATACACGTAAAAATGGCCGGCCTCCTCGGATCGACCAAGGTGAATCACCAAGGGGTCTCCGCGATCATGTAGAAGGCGCGCCTGGGCCAGCAACGGAGCGGACTTGGCCAGGTACTCATTTGCGCGCTGCGCAAAATACAGGCTCCACGAAAAACCTTGACAGAGCGAGCCAGCACACGGGTATACAGCGTCTAAGGGCCCAACAAACTTCCCATCCACGAACGAGTTCTCCAAACCGAATGTCTTTGCAGGCACTGCCTCCCACGCAAAATAGCGAGCGATCCAAAGGGGGACACGCAATCTGTGGAAGCAGTCCTTGACATCATTCAAGCCGACAAAGGCAGTCAGCTTGGCCAGGCACTCCGGGTCGGCAAAGACATCGCCATCAAACTCCACCTCAAACCGCCCAAAGGATTCAGCCGTCATCAATGAAACTCCAGGGGCGGCCTTGAAGTGAAGGTTGGACAGCCTAGCGTCGGTGATCATCCTGAGACGAGCGCGTGAGGATTTCCACACGAAGAAAATGCCTACGCGACACCTCGGCTGAGTGGTGTACTTAAAGTACCCGATCTTGCGCAAACGAAGAACCAGATCATTGTAACTCTTCTTGTTGAACCTCAAGGACGGATCCCAATACGGCTCAACACCCTCACCTGCGCACACAGATTGTGACAACATCAGCTCTGATTGCTCTTCCAGGTACCGACAGTCGTCAGGCGGTAGAACATCCCCTAGTCGAGGACACCCACTCACGTCATCAGGTAGAGAGACGAGGTCAGATTGGTAAGAGGCAAGAGGCTCATTGGAGGGCTTCCAGTCATAGGGAGTACCTCCTCGGAGAAGCGAACGAAGTGCTTCCTCCGGCTTAGCCACGACACCACTGGGCTTCTGGTCGCGAACCAGTCCTTCCACGCGTGCCATGGCCTGCGCCTGCATAGGGCTGGGGACATTGCCAAGATCACCTGGACGAGAACCAGCCATCCAATTCAAGGCATCAACAACCTCGTTGCAGTTTGACACCTGATTTCTAATTCGGAGCCGCCGCTGCTGCACTGTACGGCTTACGCCCTGAAGCTTCGGCGGACATGCAAAACGAGGGAGGGGGAACAGTATCCTCTCCTTCTGGCTAGGCCAAGCTGCTGCTCCCGGTTGACGAGCACCTCCCAAGTGCCCCTCCATCTCACTGGTGCGGGCCGCGAGGGGCAGCCGCCCGCACGGATCAAGGCTCAGTTCGGCTCCTGCCCCCTCCCACGGCCCTTCTTCGGACCTTTGGGGGGCTTCTGGGCTGCACCATCAGCGGCATCACCGCCGCCATCATCGGTGGATGCAAGGGGGGATCCACGCAACTCTCGCACTTTCTGACGGGCCTGAAGCAGCTCGAGTTCCTCCTTGTTCTTCTTAGCAGCATAGGTCCTAAACACCGGACTGACGATGTCCTCGGGTGAACCCTGACCTTGAAAGACCTTCGCATGCTCCCAAGAGGGCCTGGCAGGGTTGGTGTATGCCTCCACGATTGATTGAACTCGTCTGCAGAGCAACTCCATCGAGATCAAAGCCGGGATGTTGACCTGATCGTGCGTCCCGGCATAGTGAATGGCATCCGTGAGAACCTTAAGTTCATGGTAAACCCTATCAGTGACTTCGATGTGCTTGCTTCGGCACCAGAGCTGCAACCACTGGCGAACATCCCCGCCGTGCCGCTCGGCATGTTTGATGAAATGCAAGGCAGTCAAAGGACCGTCTATGGGTTTATCCTCCAAGGTTGGGGCATATGACTCTTTACAGACGTCCCTCCACCGCTTGAATCTCTCACCGTGTTCGTCGAAGTCGACCCACAAGGTGCGAATCTCCTCTTGGCTGCTATCATTAGTCTTGTCCCTGCCGGCGTCATCCGCGATCAGGTCCAGGGTTCGTAAAGCTGGGGCTGCAGCAGGGCTCTCAGCGCGAACCCCGAACAATCTGCGCCTTCGCTCAGCAAAGTCCGAACAATCCTCAACTTTCACAAGTTCGGCCTTCACCCAATATTCACCCCGCCTAAGCATGGCAACGCTTTCTCCAAGCTGAATGTCATTGGCCTGAATGCTCACTTCTTGACCAAGCTTCAATCCCCCAATGGGCTCCGCAGCAATCCACACGTATCCCTCAGGAGCTGGCTCAATCACCCGCACACCCGGAGGAAGCGTGGGCTCGACGACAGTCGTGATTCCGCCGCCTCTAGCAACAGGTCCTTTGCCGGTAAGCCGACCAACGAACCCAGACACCTCGCTGATGCTGCCGTCCCTGAGGAGCACCCCTGCTGGTCGCCACGCTGCATCCGCGTGAGCCTCGTCCCCAAGCAGCTCGAGAGCCTCCCCAATCTTCTCCTTCAGGATGTCGTCGGTAATGTCCCTTCTGAACCTATATACAGGCCCCCCACGCGACTCCAAAATGTGAAGTGCTCGCCCTTCACTTTAAAGGAATCGCATCCAGGATCGCCGTACCCTGAAAAATCCTCAACGTACACGTCGAAATCCGGAGTAAGGATCACCCATTTCATGCCATCGCTCTTCCAGAGAAGAACCCGCTCATGATACATTCGCTCATCATTGAAGAACGCAGCTACATGTTGGCCTGGAAGGCATCTGGACAAAGCCTCCGCCCTTTCGCCTGGGCGAAACGACCTCATGATTCACTGTCCTTCTTGAGTTCACCAGAGCACAGGCCAGAGTCACCACGACCAGAGCGAGGGCGATGGATAATCCACAGAGCAAGGCTATCAAGTGGGGTTCGTCTACCGAGCAGTCGCAAACCACCTCGCACTGATATGTCGAGGTCACGTGATTAGACTTCTGCCCAGCGCGATCAAGTAGACGCAAGAACCATACAATAGCGGCTAACTCTACCTTCATCCTGAGAGATTTTCTTGAGAGGAAGAGTGACATCGACATCTTAAAATCTCAGCAACATTTCTGTGTTTAAAACTGCCATGGCTCGGCTTGTGGCCAAAACCGAGGGGTGAAAGGACCGCGGCCTTCCTTCACCTCTCGGTTTGTAGTTAAAACCGAGGGGTGAAAGGCGCGCGGCCTTCCTTCACCTGTCGGTATGTGGCCAAAACAGAAGGGTGCAAGGACCGCTGCCTTCCTTCACCTCTCTCGGTTTGTGGCCAAATCCGAGGGGTGAAAGGAGCAGGGGCCTTCCTTCACCATTCGGTTTGTGGCCAAAACAGGGGGGCGAAAGGACCGCGACCTTCCTGCACCTCTCACGTCCCCCATCCCGGAGCGAAAGGCCCGGAGGTCTTGGACGTCCGAAGCCCCACTGTGGACAGCTCCCGGCGAAGCCTAAGGGGCGATGAGGCAGTGGGTGCAGACTCCTCGGTGGAGGAAGAGATCGCTACTTTCACCCTTTTGTTTTGCCACAAATCGAGGTGAAGGAAGGCCACGGTCCTTTCACCCGTCTGTATTGGCCACAAACCGAGAGCGAGACACAGCTGGGATGTCAAGCCATGATGGCCTATCGCCACACACCGCTTGGCGCGACTACCGGGCCAACCTTCACCATTCGGTTTGTGGCCAAAACAAGGGGTAAAAGGACCACCTCTCGGTTTTTTGCCGGGTGAAAGGACTGCGGCCTTCCTTCACTTCTCGGTTTGCGGCCAAAACCAAGGGGTGAAAGGACCGCGGCCTTCCTCCACCTCTCGGTTTGTGGCCAAAACCGAGGGTGAAAGGACCGCGGCCTTCCTTCACTCCTCGGTTTGCAGCCAAAACCGAGTGAATGAAAGCACCGCGGCCTTCCTTCACCTTTCGGTTTGTGGCCAAAACCGAAGGGTGAAAGGCGCGCGGCCTTCCTTCACCTCTCGGTATGTGGTCAAAACAGAAGGGTGCAAGGACCGCTGCATTCCTTCACCTCTCGATTTGTGGCCAAAACGGGGTGAAAGGAGCGGCCTTCCTTCACCTCTCGGTTTGTAGTTAAAACCGAGGGGTGAAAGGAGGGCGGCCTTCCTTCACCTGGTACGTGGCCAAAACAGAAGGGTGAAAGGACCTTCACCTGTCGGTTTGCGGCCAAAACCGAAGGGCGAAAGGACCGCGGCCTTCCTTCACTTCTCGGTTTGCGGCCAAAACCGAGGGGTAAAAGGACCGCGGCCTTCCTTCACCTCTCGCCAAAACCGAGGGTGAAAGGACCGCCTTCCTTCACTTCTCGGTTTGTGGCCAAAACCGAGTGGGTGAAAGGAGCGGCCTTCCTTCACCGTTCGGTTTGAGTGAAAGGACCGCGGCGTTCCTTCACGTCTCGGTTTGTGGCCAAAATCGAAGGGTGAAAGGACCGCGGCCTTCCTTCACCTTTCGATTTGTGGCCAAAACCGAATGAGTGAAAGGAGCGGCCTTCCTTCACCTCTCGGTTTGTGGCCAAAACCGAGGGGTGAAAGGACCTCGGCCTTCCTTCACTTCTCGGTTTGCGGCCAAAGCCGAGGGGTGAAAGGAGCGTGGGCCTTCCTTCACCTCTCGAAATGTGGCCAAAACCGAGGGGTGAAAGGAGCGGCCTTCCTTGAACTCTCGGTTTGCGGCCAAAACAGCGGGGTGAAAGGACCGCGGCCTTCCTTAACAGGTTGGTTTGTGGCCAAAGCAGAGGGACCGCACCTATCGATTTGTGGCCAAAACAACGGGGTGAAAGGAGCGCGGCCTCCCGGTTTGTGGGCAAAACAGAGGGGTGTTTACGCCCATTTTTCTGTTTTTTCTCTCTCCTGTTTTCTGATTTTGTTTTTGTTGTTTTCTGATTCTTGTTTTCCGATTCTGTTATGTTTTCTGATTTTGTCTGTGCTGTTTTGTGATCCTGGCTGCGTGGTTCTGTCCGGGTGTTTTCGGACATCGCCCTCCTTGGTTTCCGAACTTGTTTTCCTGATGTCGCCCGTTGCTTTCGGATATCCTCTTCACTCTGATGTGAACGAATGCTTCTTTGCGCGGCATAACAGCAATAAACCTCTGGAGGAACGGCAGACGCACAGAGTTTTGCTTTCGAGACTGACTCTGCGGACGTTACTGAACTCGAGAAACACAAGGTCCAGCCAACACTGCAAATCCTACGCCCGGTACATATGAGACATAGCCGAAGGTGCTTGGACCTGCTTGGAAGCAAGCACAGGCTCTACGAAATCGATAGGGGTCGATTGTACGAGCCTTGGAAGCTGGCGTAGAGGTTTCAGCTTTGGCATAGATTTCAGGATTACCCGCCGAAGCGCAAGCGAAGCGATGGAGAAGGTCAATGTCTACCGATGACCGAGATCCTCAAGTTGCACGTCTACTCCTCTACTCCCTCCAACTCGAGTGGCGGAAGGAGACCTCTCTGGCACCTGGTTCCAGCCAAGGTTTGTTGAAATGGCAGGAGCCAAGAAATATATTGCAAGGGCAAGGGAAGCGCCAACGCCAGGGAAGGCGCTCACGGTCGCAACGACTGGCGGGAGTCGAACGCTTGGTGGCAGGATGAATGGAAATTCTGGGCGACGAAAGGAAAGAAATGCGGGGATGGCAGGGACCAAGCAAATGCCGCAGAAGGCCTGTCCTCGAGACGGAGGACCGCCATAGCACCAGCTCAAGCTTTCCTGGTCGTAGAGTCCTCCTCCTGCTTGGCAGCACTGGCTGATGCTAGAACACTTAATTGCGACTTTTTTCTCGTCGATGTGACTTTCCAGCTTTTTCAGCAACGTGACTGGTTTGCAACTTGTTTTCGGCTCCCAAAACAGCAAAAATCTCTGCAAAAGGCTGTCATAACTTTTTGGGGTGTCTTTAGCACCAAGCCACTAACTTGTCCTGCTATCTCTAGCACACAACCACAATTTTTGTGCTGTATTTAGCACCAAACCAGAACCGTCACACAAGATGCATTTAGGCTTTTCGTCTTGGGTAACAGGTTCTCGCTGGATTCACTCCTCAGGGTTGTCGTTTTCGGTCAAAGGTTCCTGCTGGAGTGATCACTCCTTAGGGTTTTCGTCTTGGGAAAAAGGTTCTCGCCGGATTCACTCCTTCGGGTTTTCGTGTTGTGGGCAGTGGGGGTGGGCGGAGTAGGTGGGGTAGGTGGGGTAGTGGCGGTAGGCGGGGTCGGTGGGGTGTGGGGTAGGTGGGGTAAGTGGCAAAAGTTACATCCAAGAGGAAAACAAGTTACATTTAAGAGACAAAAAATACAACTTGACCTGATACCCTGTCTGCTGATTACTCCTTCATCACGCCTGACCTCTCCTCAGCTTCAATGTTTTTTGGGATATCGGGTGCACGAAAGCCATGACCTCTCGGCCCGCAGCGCAGGCATGAAGTATGTCGATGCGCATCCCCGGTCCACCAACAGTCACTTCCCGCCTCTCTCACGAGGGATGTTCCTTTGAAGGTGGCGTAAGTAGTGATTTGGCGTGGCCATTTGTCGAATCTCCAATTCGATGCGCACACAAGAAGGTGAACATCTTCACTTCCGAACATCACCTTGAGTTTGGCAACAATGCTCGGCTCCTGCTGAGGTATCCGAAGTTCAAGAGGCCCTGACAATAGAGGATAAAAGGGTTTGAGATGAAGCCAAGATGGAGCTCATCCGTTCCCATCGCAAGTTCAGAACTATGCCTTTCAAGCCTGTGGAAAGTAGGACTCCCATTTCCCTGGAGTTCTTGGATAAGCTTCGCATCGGGACGCTCAATTACAAGAATGGTGAGACGGTCATGAAGACGGACGTATGGAACAAAGAGTCTTACCTTCCAACTACTATAAGATTCTTCCTGGCGGAGTTCAGAACACTTCCGAATCCGAAGAAGCAGAAGCAAGATAAGACACGAAAAGCCAAACGAAGGCTTTCCTTATGGAAAACAATCCGAGATGTTCGATATTGACAAGGAGTTGGAGCAAATCGAGGCAGATGTTCACAAAGAGAAGCATAAGGAAGAAGTCGAGTCAGGGAACTGGCGACAGTGATCACGATGAATAGGCACCTAGCGAACCGGATGCTCCACAGACCGAGATCCTAGGCGGATTGCACTTCCTCTTCCGGCGCAGGAAATCGCGCACAGTTCTCCGGTGTGCAAGCATACCTTGGAAACACCGCGTGATATTCACCCCCTTCCTCTCCCCTCCAGCCGCTTGTTTCAGACGTCAATGGGATCTCAGTTAATCTTGCGATGTCAATCAATGATGGTTTGGTTGAGAAGGTCTTTGCTTGTGGCTCCCTTCCCAGACATCTCTCTCTGAGGGCTTCCAGGAATTTCGGCACTAGGCGAAAGTGCCGAAAGTCCCGAGATAAGGGTCGCCTGAAAGTTCGTTTTGTCCACCGGCTACCGTGCCTCCTCGTTCATCCAGCCCTCGGACAGAGGAGGCACACCTGACACCAATCTACACGCCTACCTTTGGAGACATATGCAGACTTTGGGACTGCGCCTGCGGAGTTCCCACGCGACTCCCGCTCGGAGTTTCCACGCTCGGAGTTCCCGCGGTCGGGGCCGCGGTCGTTCGAGGGCTTGGCTCCTCGCAAGGTCCGCTGATTGGGCAGCTGCCGTTCCACTGAAGAGCACAACTCCTGTGCCCGTGCTCTTGTCTCCTGAAGAACGGGGGCAGGGAAGGTGTTGTTGGAGGGAACAGAGAGCAAGCCGGGTGCGCCTGCGCCTGCGTCTTCTTTCTGGCGCTTCTCTGGCGATGGCGATAACCCGTCCCTCAGAGTCCGACGTGCGCGGACGGACGGAGACGCAAAACGGAGCCAAGCGGGGCTGCTGTCCCAGGGCCCAGGCCTCCCCTCGCGCCTCGGCCGGCACGAGCAAAAAAAAAACCTACGAAAGACAGCCTTCTTAGTAGGGCCCCGGGCTTCCCGGTGAGAAGGTACCGGAAGTCTTCGTCGGTGCCTCGAAGCGGAGAAAGCGTGCAATACATCTTATGTAAACGAAAATAAGCCGTAGAAAGAGAAGGCGACTTTTGGCCCTCTGCCCCACGGCTCAGTCCGGGGCTCTTCTCGGAGACCTCCCCGAAGACCACCAGCAAGTAGCCCGAGCGACAGACGGGGGGCACCTCTGCTTTCTTGGCGCTCCAAAAACCCACTCACTGTCACTCACTGTCACTCCTTCTTGCGGCGGCTTCCGCAGCCATTCTTGCTTCGACCCTGCAAGTTCCTGGCGCCGGCATGCCGGAGCTCCTGCTCCAGCCGCTGAAGCTCTTCCTCCAAGCCGTAAGCACAGAGACCACAAACAACACACATCCAAAAGTCACCAGCTGCAGGTACTCGTCGTTGCTCCTGGCCTGAAGAGGGGGCGCCCCCGTTCGCTTCAGGTAGGCCACCTCGCGCGTGCTCCAAGCCGCGGGGGCTCTTCTCTTGGGACTCTCGGGCGCTGCCGCGCTGCGCTGCTTCCTTTCTTTTCCTCCTTTTAACTTTTCCTTTATAGACTTTGGCTTCCGGCCAGCTTCGGCTCGAAGCGCTTCTCCAGGTCCCAGCCTCAGCCAAAGGACGCTCTCTCTCCCCCCCCCCCCAAGTTGCGCGCTCTGGGAGCGCTTCCGGAAGCGCTGGGCTCCCCAGCGCTCCATGAAGTCTTGCACCTCCCTCAAGAAGGGGTCCGCTACAGAGGCCCCTTGTTGGAGCGCTAGCCTCTCAAAGCTCCACTCTCGCGAGGCTCGCAAGCGTCCGGTCTCCCTGGGGAGCCCACGGCGCATCTCGGCTGGGCCTCTGCTGCACAGGTCTTCCCTCTACGCGGCCATGTGTGCAGTTTATTGCTCGAAGAGCTGCTCACCTTTCAAGAGCAGAGCTCGGACGTGAACGCTTCCGTACAACACTGAAGTCTTTCGAATGATATTGGATGGAGCACAGGATGCAAAGTGCAAGTCCAGAAGTCCAGGGACAATCTTGTTCTGTGGCGCAATACCTCAGACCGGAACGCGTGAGTTTGTCCCGGTTGGGTCGTGGCACGGCATAGTTTTGTCGGCAACCAGCCAGGTCCGCAGATATGTCCATCAAGAGTCTGGCGCTCATTTCCGCATTTCGCGACCGCAGTGACTTGCTTGATTTCTTGAACATCAGGCAAACGAATGGTGCATTGCCCCGGACAGAGAGCTCATTTAACAGCAAAACCCCGTTGGGAGCTTGGAAGCTTCGCGGCAAGACCCCCCCTAATTTGGAAGCACGCGGCGAACGTTCTTGGATTTTCTCTTCCATATTGTCCAGTGTTCTCAAAGAGCAAGGACTTGGAGAGCTTCGCGGAGATGTCGCGGGGATGGCTAGAACTGCTGCACATACGTCTTGCTGTGAGAGCAAACAGAGCGCACTGGGATCCGCGCAGTGCGCCTTCGGGGCCTTTGCCTCGAGGGACCGGCGGCGCCGAAGTGCCTTTGCCGAGGAGGCCCGGCAAGACCTGCCGCAGCGTCAAAATCGCCCGCTTCGCTTCAATCGCCCGCTTCGCCGCTTCGCTTGAAAAAAAGGTGCTCTTTTCTGCGGAGGCCGAGATAGGCCGAGGGACGCCCTTGGCCGCCAGGACCTGCAAGCCTTTGCCGATCCTCGGCGCAGCCGCGGAAAAAAGGGTCAGCGTGGCAAGAAAGGAAGAAAGGCGCCGGGCGCCGAGAAATCTTTACTCAGGCGGAAGCAGGGCACCCTTGCTCCCGGACAGCAAACTCGCCTTCAGTGCTGGGAGACCCGTGACCCGGAGACGGGACCCGGCTAGCGGCGCGATGCGGCGCGCTCTGCGAGGAACCGATATCGCGCTCAGGCGACGGCCAGCTCGGGCCTCAGAGCAAAAAAAGGGCCCAAGAGCTCTCAAAGAGGAGCTGCTTGAAAGCCATTATAAGGTGCTCTATAGCTGCTCTGGAACTGCTTCTTTTAGACTGCTATATACATATAAGCCGCTGCTTTAAGCCGCTGCGGGGCCCGGGCCCGGGCCCGGCACTTGGGCCTCGATTCCAGGGGCGTCTAGCAGCTCTAGCTCTGCGCGCGTCTTCTACTTACGCGCGTCCGAGTCTCTCTGTTTAGTCTCTTCGTTCCTCTCTCTCTCTCTCTCTGCACGCCGAGGCCGCCACGGAGCGTCTGCGGCCTCAGCCTCGGTCGCAGGGTTTTCATACTGTATCTTTCTTGTATTGTCCTGGTGAAAACAAAATCCCCAAGATCCGCTCTGTGGAAGGGGAACGGGTAGAAGCATGGCCTGCGTCACTGCGACTGGGACGCGTCTCGTGTGAATAAGCTGGCCGCCTGAGGGAGGCCGTGCGGCACTGCCGGAGTGCCCGAGGGAGGGTTCGGCCCTGGCGGCGGCGCGGGTGGCCTCGGCACTGCGGCTCTGCAGCTGCGGCTTTTGGCAAGGATCCACTCGGCGCCCGGCGCAGTGCTCGCGGTGGCCTCGGAGACACAGCGAGACCCTCCCGCATCCTCCCCCGGCTTCCCGTCTTAGGGCATTAGGCTCAGAGCGCGCTTCTGGCAAGCAGCCTGCAACCAGGAATCGTTCAGCTGCGGAAGCTTCTGTGCTGGGCTGTCCTCGCAAGCTTCAGCTTCCCCATAGGTGCCGTATTTGGTCCGGCAATACTCGCAGGCGTAGGTCACCTCCTCCTGCAACCGGCTGACAGGCAAAAGCAAAAGCAAAAGCACAGCGCTTTGCCGGCCCTCCGACCTCTGCCTCGGCAGGAAGACCTCGGAGAGAGACTTCGAATTCGAGTTTGCCTCCAAACTGTTGCCTTGCGGCATCCGGCCGATTCCCATCTGAACGGCCTCCGGGCCATTCCATGCGGACCTTCGAGACAAGCAGGATCGACTGACCCCCCTTTACAGCGTTGAGATCAGCCAAGTGCTTCGCATGCCGAGATCTCCGGAAAAACCAGGACCCAAAGACACGAAATGGTAAACACGTGCTGCAAGTTGCCTGTCTCACAATGCTTCTCATGTTGGGTTTTGACGGCTCGTGAGATACGCTCCTTCCTCTAAGCTAATGTGTCTCTGTGTCTGTGTGTGTGCGCGGTGTGGCCATGCCATGCTACTGCGGAGCACTATAGTCACTATGCCCCTACCTCGCTACTACTGCGATCCCTCCGCTGGAGCCAAACCTCGCCGGCCGGTGACCCGGCTTTGACAGAAGCGAAAGCAGCACGCCCCACCGCCGTCTTACTCCTGCTGCACGCAATGTTCTTGTTCCTGTTCCTGTGCGGACTACAGAGCTTAAGAAGGCGCGTCAGTTCCCCCTTCTTGCAGCATGCTACTTTCTGCGCCTTTTCAGATGCTTCCTTCGCGACATCAAAAAACAACAACTCGTACCAGGGGACCTTGGTCGTTGCTACAGAATGGCGAAGGTTGGCAAATAAACAGGGGGTCATTGTCCCGGTGGCTTGGTCCAGCCGTAAGAATGCTAGGGTTGTACGCAGTACTTTGAGCGCTGAAGTTGTAGCCCTATGTGGTTCTGTAGACAGGATGTCGTGGTTGCACTTGTTCTGGGAATGGTGTAAGAGCCCCGACATTGACCTCTGTCAGCCGGATGCAGGGCTGAAGCATGCTCCAGGGGCAGCCTTGGTTACCGACTGTAAGAAAGAAAGCATATGATATTGCAACGGAGACAGCTGTCCCTGCATGCTCAGAGCTGCGAACCCCAAGAGAACTGTCAGATGGGCTGGGTTCATTCGAAGGCCATGTTAGCGGATTGTAGCCAAAGTCATGGATAGTTCCGAGTTAAGGCGTGGACTTCGTGAGGGGCCATATGCTCTGTTTGATGAGGTCGGTCCTTGAAACGAGAGCAGTGAAAAAACAATCGCTGAAATGCCTACGGTCTTGAACTCCAGAGCACAAGTGACAAATTTAATCATAAAGAGCTTTCGTGAGCGTTAAACCAACAATCTTTTTTCCAGGAGTCCGCTGTCACTTGTGTCGTGCCGAGCAACCTTGCTGTTCTCGCCGCTTCGTTCCCAGCACAAGGGAGGGACGGGAGCGGCCATGCTTGAGGGCCAAGCATCACGGCGTGAACAGGGTTCCAGGACTTCTGTTCGAGGTCGGACCTGCTGTGGTGCACCTGGAGAGATGGACTCCAGCTGGCAACCAACTAGTTCACAGGTTTTCTTGATTGACAGCGAGTTGTCGTGAAGCCATCCCAGGACGACATCAGGAATCCACTACAACTGAGGAGATAAGCTGTGGCAACAAATCAAAAAATCAGAACACTCCAGCGTGTGTGCCCGTGTGTGTTTTCTGTGTTTGTTGTACAGCAGATGTCAAACGTGGTTGCATGTTTGTGCTGCTGCTGCTATTCTTGTTGTGCTAACTGCTAACTATCATACATGGATTTCTTTATCGTGGTTGCCTTGCCCTGCGTTAAATCCGACTGTGCTTTTGTTGTTACCGCGTGCTGTAAGCGTGTTTGCATGTGGGTGTCTTGCTGCGGCGCTTGGATCTAGGCTGAAAATGACATTCCAGCTAATGCTGCTTGCTTTTAGGTCAGGCATTGCCGGCAAGTTTGGCACAGCACCTGCTGGACGCGAAGTTTGGATTCAGAAGCAGCCTTCTTCCAGGCTGGGCATAGGGACTTGGCCCACGTTTCGATCAAGGTGTCGGCCTGAGGAGGTCAGTCATCAGAGCCATGTTCTTAGGTGAAGCTTGTTGCAACCTAAGAGGCATCGTCAAAAGACCCGTTTTGGAACGCACGGCTTGGACAAGTGTGGGCAAAGACGCTTTTCGCAAAAGCGAAATGCACACGGCAAGATCCTCGATTTGGTGAAACCAGATGGCCGTCTTAAGTGCAGCCGCGGTAAGATTTATTAACAAGGCGGCAAGGTCTCGTTACCCAAACTCTGCCACCACTGCCTCGGTTGTTCTCAAAGCAAAGCCAAGGCGTCAGCTGTTCCTGGCGGCCAAGGCACTCTCCACTCCGCCGTCCCTGGAGCCAGCAGTACTGCTGGTCCCGCATCTGCCGAAGGAGCAGTGCGGTCGGTGCCCCTGGTGCGTTGGTGCAGTATCAGGCACGGCAGTTCACAACACGACAACAACACGCAATCCGTTGAGCACGATCAGGGCAATGTGTACGCAGTTCGCCGACAGAGTCGGAAAACAAGCCGCATTCACCTCGTGATGGTGGTGATAAAGTGATAAAGAGTGAAACGACGGTCAGCTCCGAAGTGACGATCGTACAGGCATGATGACGACGACAGACGATTTGACGATGATGATGATGACAACGACGACGACGACGACAACGATGATGCTGATGAAGAAGCTGATGATGAAGATGACGATGACAATGACAATGTTGATGGTGGTGCTGAACACTGAATGGGAACGGATGTACGGTAGCACTGCTTCTGCGTCAAGGAAGGACGCATGGACGAATGCCAAAATGTATGAGGTATGGTTGTTAGTAAACTAAGTATGGGTAAGCACACAACAGCACCCCACACATACAATCACCAACGTTGCAAAGGGACCCTACATACACTCACCGAAATTCTTCCGAACATGCGCGCCTCAACGCATAAAATCTGTGAAACGCGACGGGCTCCGGCCAGATAAAGGAGGTGCAAGTAAAGCCAAGGGTGAGCGAATGAAATAGTTCTCTCGCTCTGGCGCTGTCTCTGCT